TGGGCACGGCTGCTTCCCGCATGTAGAAGAAGCTGCTGCGCGGCGGCTGAGCTATCCAAGCACGGCGTGTCTCCCTTGAGGGATGCCTCCCGTCGCCTTCCAGCAGCCCAGGGCGTCTCCTTTCCCCGCAACCCCAGCAAGCTCTTTCCCTCCCTTCGGAAAAGCCCCAGGAAGCCCACATCGTCTCACCTTGTATTTATCGAAGCCGGCGAGCTGGTCGGCGCTCACGTAGTCATAATCGATCATGGTTAACAGCGACATCAGACGGATCCGCTATGCAGAAAAGGGGCCCAGTCCGTCTCGCCTACCTTTCCCACGCGAGGCTACACAGGGAGCAGGAGCGCCGCCTGCATAGAGACACACTGTACGCTCGTCCCGCCCGGCTTCGAGAATAACAGGAGAAGAGGAGGAACTCCCCTCCCCACCCCGCTACCAACCCCTCGCCGGTTTCCGTACTTCGCTGCTCCTCCTCCCGCGTGGCAGCTCCAGATCAGCCCATCCGTGACGTCACCGAATAACTCTTTTCCCCCCCTCCCCCTCTCCCCCCCACCCTCTGGCGCGTCGCCATCTTGGATGAAGCCGAGGAGCTGGGATTGGTTGTGGCGTTGCCTCTGTTTCAGGCCGGGGTCATTCATTCACCTTCCAGCCTTCTGCGCTTCTTTTTGAAAAGCCGCTTGTTTTCGGTGTACCGCTGGGGTCTGAAAATTGTGTTTATTGGGCGGTTTATATCAATAGGTTTGGAAGGCACCTTGAAAGCGTTGTCTTTATTCCTCGAATTCATTTGCAACTGAATACATTCCTGACTCTTTTTCTACTCCCCACCCCCGTTTCCTCGTTCAGTTCCCGATAGCCTCAGTCTTTCCCACCTGTTCTGCCCAGTCTAGCCTAGAACATCTAATTTATCCACCGAACACTACTGTAGGCGGATTTGTTGATAGGCTAACAAGAGCATGGGATTCACTTTTTGGGTTTGGTCTACAGTACAGTAAATCAACCCACTTCAGGTTTTTTTTAATGGGAATCCTTTACTTCCTATAATTAAAATGATAGTATCTGCATGGTGTTTGTGGGAGTTTGTGTGTGCGTGATCCTAACAGGAGGCAGAAATGTACACTAGTTAACTTTTTCTTTTATTGAAAAGACAATTTTATAATGAACTGTTAACTGCACAAGTTGACTTCATAAAATGCGCTGTTGTATCAGTTGACTCTGTATATTCTGTGATTTGAGTCCAACATTTCATACATGGTGGGGCTAAATATTGGGGGTAGAAATGAACATCTTTGCGTTGCTAGAGAAAATGTCTAAACAATCTAATTCTGCTGCTTCTACTGATCCAGTACTCTTCCAACATCTTAATAAATGGTTTGGGGAGAGGGACGGGAGGATAGAAGAACTTATCTCATTTGCAGACAATACCAAGCTGGGTGGGAATAGTCAACACAAGATAGGCTGAAGATACAGAAGCATCTTCACAGATTTGAACACTGGACCTTGAAGGAAGTTAGCACCCACCCCTCTCCTAGAAAAATGAAATATTTTAGGAAATATTAAAAGTAGAAACTCAGGCAGAATCTCAGCCCCCCCCCTTTTTTTTTCAATGGGCCATTAAGACCTGAGCTAGCCAGTCTATTCTACATAACAAAGATCTTCCCTGAAGGGGCAGAGCCATTTCATTGCCGCCCACCAAGTTTCAACCAAACTGAGCACACAGCCTACAAAGGTAGCTAAGACCCCTGCCCCCTGGGAGTCTGACAGCCAATGGGATACATTTCTTACACAGGAACAGGAAATTCTTAAGATGGGGCCCAACAGAGAGCATAAAACCCAGGTATGCTCAGCAGCCCCTCCCTTTTCATCCAGGAGCTCCACGTCATTACACCATCTTTCCAAGCAGTCTCTGTTATTTCCAGAGTCTCTCTTCCCACTTAAAATGGGCATTCCCAATAAAATGCACAGGTATAGAATAGATAGTACCTGGCTCAATGGTAGTGACTGAGAGGGATTTAGGTGTCCTAAAGGACAATCACTAAAATATGAGCCAGCACTGCTGCAGCTGCCAAAAAAGCCAACACAGTCCTAGGCTGCATCAATAGAAGAATAGTGTCAAAATTGGTGAAGTGATAGCACGCTGCACTGGTAAGACCACACTTGGAATACTGTGTCCAGTTCTGGTCACCATGGTGCAAAAAAGATGTTGAAACTAAAAAGAATGAAGAGCAACAAAGATGATAAGGGATCTGGATGCTAAACCATACAATGAATAGTTGTGGGAACTAGGTATGTCTAGTCTTAACAAAAGAGAAGGATCTGGGGTGACATGATAGCAGTTTTCCAATACTTGAGGGGCTGTCAAAGAGAAGAGGGGGTCACCTATTCTCCAAAGCACATGAGAGGAGGACAAGAAGTAATGTGTCAAAAATTATTAAAGAGCGATCCAATCTAGAATTAAGGAGACATTTTCTGGCAATGAAAACAGTCAGTGGAATGACTTGCTTCCAGAAGTCAAGTCAAGTTTTATTGTCATTTCAACAATATACAGTACAGTACACAGTGAAACGAAACCATGTTTCTCCAGGACCAAAGTGCTACATCAGGCAACATAGATAAAAAATAAAAAAGCAGCAGCAGTTATGGGTGCTCCAACACTAGAGTTTTTCAAGAAGCTGGTAGCTGTTTGACCGAAATAGTAGGGTCTCCTGCTTGAGCAGGAGTTTGAACTGGAAACCGCCAATGTCCTTGTCAACCCTGTTATTTTATTTTCTATATCCTACTTTTTTATAAAGTTAGTACATGATCTCCTTTGAAAGCAGTGGGGTTGAAATGCAAGATGGACCTCAACAACATCAGATTCAACCTATTACTACTTCAGGTGGTCAGAATTAATGCACTTATGACAGTATGCTTTCCAACATTTTGACTGCCAGCTTTAACGGGATCTATTGAATGATTTGCTAATTCAAACCACACACTAAGAATGTAAATCATTCATTACAGTGGACATAAGGTAAAGGATCCCCTCGCACATACCGGTATGTGTCATTTCTGATTCTAGGAGGCGGTGCTCATCTCCATTTCAAAGCCAAAGAGCCAGTGCTGTCTGAAGATGTCTTCATGGTCATGTGGCCAGCACTGAACACTGTTCCCTTCCCACCAAAGGTGGTCCCTATTTTTCTACTTGCATTTTTATGTGCTTTCGAACTGCTAGGTTGGCAGAAGCTGGGACAAGTAACGGGAGCTCACTCCGTTACGTGGAGCTAGGGATTCAAACCACTTCTGATTGACAAGCTCAGCGTTTTAGCCACCGCGACAGTGGACATACAATACAGCTATACATGATATTGACTCTCCATCACCACGAAGATTTCATGGATGTGGTTTTGACATTATGAAGTGTTTGATGCCCCCTTCTTCCGTTTTTGTTTAAAACTCCCCATTCCAGTGTGGGAAGTTATTATCCAGCCCTCTCCCAGAAAAATGAAATATCCTAGGAAATATTGAAAAGGCAGA